AAAGGTCCTCTGTAGAGGAATAGTGAGGTAATGTATTGGAATGCCCTGCCTGCAAAAATAGTAGACTGGCCCACTTTAAGGGCATTTAAATGGTCATTGGATAAACATATGGATGATAATGGAATAGTTTAGGTTAGATGGGCTTCAGATTAGTTTCACAGGTCGGCGCAACATCGAGGGCCAAAGGGCCTGTACTGCGCTGTAATGTTCTATGTTCTGGTTTTTCTTTCAATCGGATATGTGTGTCAGTGGCATTTGTGGGCCATGCCTAATTGACCATTGGCGATGAGTCTCCTTCTTGAATTACTACACATCTATTAATGGTGTAGTGCTGACTGGAGAGGAGTTGCAAGATTTTGAACCAACTAGAATGGAAAAAACGATAGTACAGTTCAGATTTAGGATGGAGTGTGGCTTGGAGGGAATCTTGCAGGTGATTGTACTTGCACGCATTTCCTGTCTTTGTGTTTCTAGTGGTAGAGGTTGAGGGATTGGAATGTACAGTCATAGATGGCTTGACAAGTTACTAGAGTGCATATTTCATGCGGTACACACTACTGTCACTGTGTGTCAGTGGTAGAGGGAGTGAATATTCAAGGTAATGGATTGGATGCCAATCAAGTGGATTGGTATATCCTGGATTCTGTTGTTGGGATTTCACACATCCAGAATATTTCATCCTGACTCATGGCTTGTAAATGGTGGAGAGACTCTGGGGAGTCTGGAGATGTGTAACCTTCCTTACATTTCCCACTTCTGAAATACCTGTCAGACTCCTACTTACTAACTACAGCTCTGCCTTCAACACTATAATCCCAACCAAACTCAAAACTCTGAGACCTAGGTCTCAGCTCTGCCCTCTGCAGCCGGATCTTCAGCTTCCTGACTCAAAGACCCCAATCGGTGAAGTAAGGCAACAGCATCTCCTCCATGATAATCCTCAATACCGGTGCCCTGCGAGGATGTGTTCTGAGCCCCTTCCTGTACTCCCCATACAGTCACGACTGTGTAGCCAAATTTGGTATGAATGTCCTCAACAAGTTTTCTGACAACACCTCCGTTGTAGTCTGGATATCAGACAACAGGAAGGAGATAAAAGGCTTGGTGTCGTGGTGCAATAATAACAATCTTTCTCTGAATATCAGCAAAACAAAAGAATTGACCATTCCTTTCAGGAAGAAAGGAGAAAGACACCCTGCTATCTACATCAATGGAGCCGAGGTGGAGAGGGTCGAGCGCATCAAGTTTCTCGCAGTGACGATAACCAACAATCTTGTGGACCTTCCATGTAGATGCGATGTCAAGAAGGCATAACAACACCTCTTCTTCCTCAGGAGGCTTCGGAAATCTGGCATGTCCATAAAGACCCTCACCAACTTTTACAGTTGCACCACAGAAGCATTCTATCTGGGTGCATAACAGCTTGATATGGCAACTGCTGTGCTCTGGAAGGAGCTACAGAAAGTTGTGTCCACAGCCCAGACCATCGTGAAAGCCAGACTCCCTTCCACAGACTCCATCTACGCTTCTCGTTGCCACTGAAAATCTGCCAACATCATCAAAGACCCCTCCCACTCCAGTAACACGCTCTTCCAACCTCTTTTGTCAGGCAGAAGCTTGAACACACATGCTAACAGGTTCAAGAACAGCTTCCCTGCTGTTATTAGACTGCTGAATGGACCTCTCATTTCAAATCTGATATTGGTCTTGCTTTTGTGCATTTCCTGTGCATAACCCATTATGCCTCGCTCTGTCTAAACATCCTATGATCTGTATGTCCTTGTATGTTATGATTTGCCTGTACTTCATGCAAAACAAAACTTTTCACTGTAGTCAGGTAAATGTGACAACAAATTAAGTGTCCTTGTAGCCATAATACTTGTATAGCTGATACAGTAAATTTTCTGGATAATAGTAAAACTCAAGATGTTGATTGTGATGGATCCATGTTGTAATACCAGTGAATTTTGAGGGGAAATGGTCAGATTCTCTCTCACTGCCACTCATTAGCTCAAGCCTGAATTTTGTCCTTGTCTTATTGTATATGGACACAGACTGCTTCGGCATCTGAATTGTCACAAATGCCATTGAACATATGCAATCATCAATAAACATCCTCATCTCTGAACTTTATAATAGAGGTCACTGAATCAGCTGAAGATGGTTGGACCTGCAGCACTACTCCAAGTGTGATGTGTTGGGGCTGAGATGATTGACATCGAACAACTATAACATCTTTTGTACTAGGTCTGATTCCAACCAGCAGAGATTTTTTCACCAGATTCCCGTTAACTCCAACTTTACTAGAGCTCCTTGATGCCACATTTGGTTAAATGTTGCCTTGATGTCAAGAATGGTCACTCTCACCTCACTGCTGGAGTTCAGCTTTATTGTCAATGTTTAGATCTGAGCTATAGTGAGGGCATCTCCAATTGTAACCACAGAAACAGGAATTAAATTCGAAGAAATTAGCTGCCACATTCCTTTCTCCACCCCTACCTCCTGACCCCTTGCTCTTCTTTCTAGTCCTCCACTTCTTCCTGACACCCCCCCCAACTTCTTTTTATCCTCATGACAGCATCCTTCTTGCCCACTACTACCACCTCTTCTTAGCCCCCCTTCCATTCATCCAGCTTCCCATTTGCTGCCCTTGTCACTTGTAACACCAAGATTACAGGCATTAAAAAAGCCCAGTTTTGTGATCTATGTCAATGTCTTTGTCTTTTTTTTTTAATCATTCTGTTTATCTCTACCTATATCCACCTATCTCTGCATCTGTATTTGCTTCTGTTTTTCCTTCCTGTTGTTCACGTATCTCTTTTGCGGTCCTCTGCTGCAAAATCAGTTACTGGAAGTGAACAAGTGGCTTTTGATGGAATCCTACTGATCTCGGACTTCTACTCTACAGCTGCCCAAGTTGTAAAATAAGGTTCGGAATTGAATCTGGGCAAATGTGAGCACAATACCATTTCCTGCCACTTATGTCATCATGAGTAGATGTTGTCAACTTAGTTTTCACTGTCATCCCCTGTGGCTCATCATTTTCTATAAAGTAATGGAAAGTGTCAGAAGCAGAGAATTATGTAGTAAATATTTCTCTGACCTAACTGTTTTAAGAAGTAAACATATTAAATAATGAGTAAGATTTGTTCAAATTCTTGAAGTTAAATTAATTGCAATGACATTGTTGCTGGGTGGAGATTTTATTTTGGAAGTCTTTTGTCAGCTAACTTTTGATATTAAGTAGTTACCACTGCAACTTGCATTAAATCCATTTAAGCGAACTCTCACTGTATATAATATAGGAAGAATAGAACCAAAGTCAGAGATGAGATCTGTGAAGTACACCAAAGCTGTCTGTTTCATATATTAGTCTTGCACCTGTTGATTGTGTTTCTGTCTCCATGTATCTGATCCCAAACCATCCTGCAGTTTCATTGGGCCTATTTAGGAAAGATGGATTGTATTTCTTTTTCTAACTGGGAAGGTGTTAGTTAGGAATAGCAGCGTGGAGCTGGAGGAGCATAGTGGGCCAGGCTGCAAATGCCAGCTTTCCTGCTCTGATGCTGCCTCTGTGCTTCTGCACTGTGCTTCTCCAGCTCCACACTGTTATCTCTAACTCCAGCATCAGCAGTTCTTGTGTCTCTGAGGTGCTAGTTAGGAACGGTTTTGAGTAGAATAATTGTGCGTTCAAGTACAGAAATCAGTAAAAGCTAGTAGACCGGTTCAAGACAAAGAAAAAGGGGTGGAATTTATACTTTTTAATGTCAGGAGGTCTGGCTGGAACCCACCTGAAATCAGTCTGGATAAAACACCTCCAAGGATAATTTGGCCTGGGGATATTGGGAAGATGAAATGTGGATTCAACAGAATTATGGACAACAAGGTGCAGGGCTGGATGAACACAGCAGGCCAAGCAGCATCATAGGAGCAGAGAGGCTGACGTTTCGGGCCTAGACCCTTCTGATGAAGGGTC